CCTTCCAGCAGCACTTCTTTCTAGACAGTAGCTTCCCATTGTGTGTGTGTGAAACGGTATTGTTCCTTCCTAAGTGGAATACTTTGCATTTGTCCTTGTTAAACTTCATCCTGTTTACCTCAGACCATTTCTCCAGTTTGTCCAGATCATTTTGAATTATGACCCTATCTTCCAAAGCACTTGCAGCCCTTTCCATCTTGGTATCAGCTGCAAACCTAATAATCATACTCTCTATGCCATCATCTAAATCATTGACACAGATATTAAACAGAACTGGTCCCAAAACAGACCTCTGCAGAACCCCACTTGTTATTCCCTTCTAGCAGGATTGTGAATCATTAATTACTCTCTGAGAATGGTTATCCAGCCAGTTATACACCCACCTTATAATAGCCCCATTTAGGTTACATTTTCCTAGTTTATTGATAAGGTCGTGTGAGACTGTGTCAAATGCCTTACTAAAGTCTAGGTATACCATGTCCACTGCTTCTCCCTTATTCACAAGGCTTGATATCCTATTAAAGAATGCTAGCTGATTGGTTTGACATGATTTGTTCTCTACAAATCCATGCTGGCTGTTACCTATCACCTCCTTATCTTCCAGATGTTTGCAGATGGATTCCTTAATTACCTGCTCCATTATCTTCCCTGGCACAGATGTTGGGCTGACTGGTCTGTAGTTTCCTGGGTTGTTCTTATTTCCCTTTTTATAGATGGGTGCTAGATTTTCCCTTTTCCAGTCTTCTGGAATCTCTCCCAACTTCCATGACTTTTCAAAGATGACAGCGAAAGGCTCAGATACCTCCTCTATCCGCTCCTTGAGTATTCTAGGATGCATTTCATTAGGCCCTGGTGACTTGCAGACATCTAACTTTTCTAAGTGATTTTTAACTTGTTCTTTTATTTTAACTTCTAAACCTACCCCATTTCCACTAGCATTCTCTGGTAGGCATCTCGTTACCATCCATCTCTTCTTGACGAAAACCAAAACAAAGAATTCATTAAGCACCTCTGCCATTTTTAAGTTTCCTGTTATTGTTTCTCCCTCTTCGTTGAGCAATGGGACTACCCTATCCTTGGTCTTCTTCTTGCTCCTAATATACTTGTAGAAAATCTTCCTGTTATCCTTTATGGTCCTAGCTAGAATTAGCTCGTTTTGTGCCTTTGCCTTTCTAATCTTCCCCCTACATACTTATGGTGTTTGCTTATATTCATCCTTTGTAATATTCATCCTTTGTAATTTGACCTAGTTTCCACTTTTTATACAACGCCTTTTTGATTTTTAGATCATATAAGATCTCCTGGTTGATCCAAGGTGGTCTTCTGCCATACTTGCTATCTTTCCTACACAGGGGAATAGTTTGCTTTTGGGCCCTTAATAATGTCCCTTTAAGCTCTCTTCAGTTGTTTTTCCTCTTAGTCTTGCTTTCCATGGGACCTTACCTACTAGCTCTCCGAGTTTACTAAAATCTGCCTTCCAGAAATCCATTGTCTCTGTTTTGCTTTCTTCCTTAGAATCATGAACACTATGATTTCATGGTCACTTCCACCCAAGCTGCCTTCCACAAGTTATCGGTTCTGTACAGGGGTGACGGGAAGAAAGTCTGTGGCCTGTGGCGTAGCTGAGGTCCAGCTAGGTGACTGGATAGTCCCTTCTGGTCTTAAATTAGGAAGCTCTGCTGGCCCATCCCTGCGCAGAGCAGAGCTCATCTGTATTGCTGCTAGCAGCACTCAGTTAAAGCAGTGATCCCCTCGATGCCTATAGCAGCCTGGGACTGGAACTTCTGCCCCTACTTCCCTCTGTATCTGTCCCTGTGCCACTGGTGCAAACTGTCTGTGTCTTTCTGTATCTTTTGCTCCCTGCCCAGTCAGGGTGGAGGCGCTGTGGGGAGCTGCTGCCTGGCCAGCATTTTCCTTCAGAATCATGAACAAAGGCTCATTTGTGGGCAATGCAGAGCCCTGCACAAAGCTGCTGTTTGTTGGGAACAACAACACTAAAGCCACAATTGTTCAGTGAGATTCTTTGGACCTTTCTAAATCTGTATTCCCCCCCCCCCACACCCCCTTCCCTCCCACTGCAGCAAAGGAGCCAACGTACCTGCCCCCAGGACCTCCACCCTTCAAGCTGAGGGCCTACTGTGGAGGAGCTTGGATCCTCCTGAAGTGTAGGTGGATTCATTGTTGGACTAATGGGAACATCCAGAGACACCCGTACTGGGTCACAACCCATAGTTTGAAA